AGCCCTGAATGAGGCAAGGAAGCTGGTCGTGTGAGTATCTGGGGAAGAGAGTTTCATGCTGAGGGAACAGCAAGTGCAAAGGCCCTGAGGTGGGCACCTGCCAGGCATGTTGGAGGAACAGCAGAGAGCTGCCTGTGGGTGGAAGAGAGTGGGGTCAGGGTTAATAGGAGCAGATCCCATAAGACGGCTCTGTCCTAAAGAACTTTTGGAGATAATGGAAATGTTCTACATCTGTGCTGTCCAGTGTGCTAGGCACTAACCACCTGTGGCCACTGAGTGCTTGGCATGTGGCTGAGAAACTAATTGTTAGGTGTATTTGATTTTAGGTAATTTAAATAGCGCTGTGTGGCTGTGGCTGCTGAGCTAGTCACACAGATGAGGGCATCTTGGGCAGCTCTGAGGCCTCTGGTCTTGACCCTCAGTCACACAGGGCCAAGGGCCCAGTGGCCAGGTCTGACCTGCATCTCAGCAGGCTTGCTCAGATGGTGTTGGGTTCCAATCCTGCTCTGCCCGCTGCTTGCTGAGCAATGGGCCCACGTTACATGATTCCTCTATGCGGAGTCTCAGGGAAACCGTATTCCACAGGGTTCTATGTGAGAATGTTGGATGCCCCACACCTGTCAGCGCATCTGCACCTTTAGAATTTTCACGCCAAATAAACCTTGCTTATTGTAGGAAAAAACTGAAACCCAGAAATGCAAAAAGAAAGAAAAAAATCACTGACATGCCCACCATCTAGAAGCATCTAATTTCTGAAATTCTGGAGGAAATAGGATTTATTTCATTTTCTACCCTGGTTTTTTACCTCAGTTATTATAAACATCTTTCCAGGGCAATAAATAAACATCTATGCCATCATTTTCCATGACTCTATGGAATTGTACGTGGAATTCTTTTGTAATTTTGCTGTTCTTAAACAGTATTCAAGAACACTCCAGAATACCCTGCATGCTTGTCCACGTGTTCCTTAGACCGTGCTCCTGGAAAGTGAGCCTCTGGAGGAAGTCTTGGATTCCGAGATGCTGGAGGCCTCGTCCTGTATCAGCCTGGTCTCTGGGCCTCCGCTCTCTCCCGTGGGGCCAGGCGGAGATGCTCTCCAGAATTAGCAAGGAGAGAAGGCCAGGGGGAATGAGGAGGGCATCATGGGGCCCAGGAGCTGGTAGGTGGATGTGTGAGGCTTTGAGTGAGACCTGGTAACACGGCTGAGCCCAGCCTCGCACCCCTAAACAGCGCCCTCACAGCCCTTGCTCAGGGAGCTGAGTGGACATGAGACATCATGATGTACAAGACCCTGGGTGTGGGGCCTGCGTTATGCCTGGTGTCATGATTATTTTATGAAAATATCCCAAGGGAGGGAAGCCCCAGGGGACTGAGTCACCTCTTTAGGTGGAGGTAATGAAAACGGGGCAGATTGTAGGGGAACAGGTGGACCAGCAGGGCCCCCTCTGAGGGACCCAGCAGATCCTGCCTGTCTCTGCCCTCTTGGAGCATTTGCTTCCTCAAAAGGTTTAGCATAAAGAAATTCTTGCCCTCCACATGAATTGTCAGCTCCTTTGGAATGCTTTCCATCTGCCCTGCAGATGTTCCCATCTAACAACCACAGAGAGGCTTCCTGGAAACGGCCGCTGAGCGTGATGCATTTCTTGGTGGTGGTGGTTGTGTGTATTTTCTCTGCTTGGTTTACTGGTGTCTATGTGGCCTCGCCCAGGCCGGCCTCCTCACATGCCCTCTCTGTTGGTGGCATTGTGCCCACAGCCACTTTTACCCAGAGAGCATCCGCTGATGGAAGAAGGAGCATAAAAAGAGCTGGGCTGTTTTTGTCTGCCCTGTAATTTGTCTGAATTTTTAAAATCTATTTTAATCAAAATTGACTATTTTGGTGCCATGTAGCCACAGCTTTGCAATTTACAGAGTGTGGTTCCCTTATGCTTCTAAACAAAAATCTGTGAAGATTTTTGGGGAGTTCCCTAAAATCTAATCTTTGTTTAATGGGGACAATGGTGTAATTCTAAGCAGTTCCCAAAGATGGAAGTCGCTGCTGCCAGCATGCCTGTGTGGGCCGGGGTGGCAGTTGGCACGGCACTGGCTGCTCGGTTGGGAAAACTCGCATTTGACCACTCCTGCCACTGGCCTCCCCTTGGCCACCGTGAAACAGACCCGTCAAGAAGCAAAGTCATCAGAATCCCTGGCGGGAGCAGGAGACACCTCATCTTTGGACAAGAAGCAATTGAAGCAAAACAGGGTTTGTTTGTAGGCAAACCACTGGTGTCCAAGCCCAGCACACAGTACAGGGCTCCAAGTGAGCAGTCACAGGCGGGGCAGCTCTGTGATTTGGCCAGATTTTCACCTCTCACCGCCCAGCTTTGTCCTTTGTAAAATAGAAACAACAATAAACATGGTAACAGCACCTATTTCCAGAGCTGCCGTGAGAATGCAGCCAGCTCAGGTATATAAAACTCTTTGTAAATTAAAACCCAAGAAACAAGAAAACTGAACAAAACCCATAGACGGAGTTGTTGCCTGTGTGCAAGAGCATCCACTGGCCGCATCTTTTTTTTTTTTGCTGAGGAAGTTTCACCCTGAGCTAACGTCTGTGCCCATCTTCCTCTGTTTTGTATATGGGACGCCACCACAGCATGACTGACGCGTGGTGTAGGTCTGCTCCCGGGGATCGGAACTCAAGAACCCAGGCCGTAGAGGAGGCGCACACCAAACTTAACACTACGCCACGGGGCCGGCCCTGACACGTGGCGTCGTAACCCAACAGCGTGAAGCTTGTGAGCTCAGGGTCTGCGCTGAGGTCTAGAAGCTGTGGCTGGCCCTCCAGTCCTGGCCCTCCCTCTCTCAGGCTCTCTGCTCACGGCCTGCCCTGGGCGTGGCAGTGTGGGTCCCTTCCTTCCCAGATCTCGCCGGCACCTGGCGCAGAGGGCCCTTTAAAGTGCGGCTCGACCATTCCCGCCAGCCCTGACCCTCGGAGCTGCTTGTTTGTGGAGGGAGGGTCTGGAGACCGTGGCGTTGACAGGGCTGCTTGCCGGTGGAGAGGCGCAGCTGGGAAGGCGTTCGGGCTCGTCTGGTAGCTGCACATCCTTCATTCAGATCAAAGATTTCAACTTTCCAGCAGCTGGCACACATGTCTGTCCACCTGGGCAGCCCTCCGTCCACAAATCTCACCCGTGAATTATGCGTCCCCCAGGGGCTGCGTACTTCCCTTCTCTGACAGACATGAGGACGGTAATTTTTATTTCCCTTTATTGTTTGGGAGACCATACGGGAGGTGATGCTGCAGAGTAAAAAGAATAGAAATGTCACAGACACGGCTCTGCGGGGTGGGGGGGGGTTGCTGTGCCGTCCCAGACTCCTGGGGAAGACACTGCCCCAGTGACCGGGACTCCCCTGGGCAGAGAGCAGACAGCACCCGCCTAGCAGGAAGGAGCTGCCCTCTCTGAGAAGTGGCGCTTCAGAGCCCCTGACCCGCAGGTGTGTCTCTGTGTGTGTGTGGAATGGACAGGTGCTGTGGGAACAGTGCAGACCCTCCAGGGAAGGGCCTTGCTTGTGATTGGAGTGAGCCCTTCAGAAGGTGCCGTTTTTCTCTCAGTCCCCTAGACAAGAACAACGTCCTACCAGGAGGCTTCCATCGTTTCGCTGCAGCCTCATGGTTGTCTGCACACTGATTAGAGGCTCTGATTGCCAGTTTTATGTGCGTTTAATTAACCAAAATAGGAAGGGATGCTGTTGTCACCCTTGGGCTTCATCTGTATCTATCTGTGGGTAGGAGTGTTGGGGAGGCACGCAGGGTGCTGCGGCAGGTGGTCCTGGGGGCGAAGGCGTCCCTGCCGCTATTACTCTCAGGCCGGCGTCCACCTGAGTGTTTGGTGCTGAGGTCACTGCCTCCCTCTGGAGCCCCGCCGAGCAGGGAGCCCCGTGCAGGGCAGTGTTCCCAGACATCTCCAGCCTGCCTCAGGAGGCCACGTGTGTGACAACCTCCACAGCTGGCAGAGGGAGTTAGGAAGCTAATGACCCTTTTTCAGGAAGAAATACTTAATTTCTTTTAGAAAACAAAATCTGCAGTAAAATATAACTCCATCTTTGAATAAAATAGGCACCTAGATAGAGTGGCCCTGGCTTTTGGATGAGTCGGTGTGTGTGTGCCGTGTTCTGAGGAGGAGAGGAAGTTTACAGAGGGGCCCGGCAGGTTGGGTAACAGATGAGGACAAGGGCACGTGGAGGTGGAAGCGCTGGGGGAGCGCAGCCCTGCGGTGTCCTGGGGGGCATCTGCGGGGGTTGGCTCAGTGCTTCCCATTGCTTGGTCAGTGTTGGAATCATCCAAGCTATTTTGTAAAAATCCCTTGCGGGTGCCCTGACTTCCACCATCAGACTCTCCAAGAGGCTCTGTCCAGGCCTCTGCTGAGCCCACAGGCCTGCCGCGGGACCTGGTCACAGAGGAGTTTTCTGACAAAGCAGCCGTCAGCTCCTTAGGAAGGTGCCCAAACACCCAGGGTTGACGCCAGGGCCAGAGACGTCCTTACTCAGATCAGAGTCTCAGGAAATGAAGGAGGCTCAGGACAGTGTCCCCTTCCCCAACAGGGGCCCCGCCTTGTCCTGTAAGCCAGTCTGAAGTCTCATCATAAAGAGTGGAATCCACGTACCAGACATGTGCCTTCTGGGAGTGCCCAATTCCATCCTTGAAAGATTACACCTTCACCCCCACTGTCCGTCACTCGATCCCAGAGATCTGTGGAATAACTGGCTTCTTTAGGATTTCATCTATAGAAAGGCCCAAAAGCCCTGTACTTGGGATTTTTCTCTTCCAGTTCTCGCAGCAAGTTCCCTAGGCGGGGGCTGTCTTTCGTGGAGAAGTAGACTTGCAGGCAACAACAGCGACCTTCCCGGGAGGGCTTGCTCTGTGCTGGGTTGACACCCATGTCCTGGGGCATCAAAGAGAGACTCCTTTGTTAATCCTCTCTTCTCCTCTCCCGTCCCCGCCCATTTCTCTCTTGCAGAGCGACTATTCCAGTGACACAGAGAGTGAAGACAATTTCCTTATGATGCCCCCACGGGACCACCTGGGCCTCAGCGTCTTCTCCATGCTCTGCTGCTTCTGGCCTTTGGGCATTGCGGCCTTCTACTTGTCCCACGAGGTAAGGCCTCTCCTGGTTGGTCACACACCCGCAGCACACCCAGGCCGAGAAGGAGAAGCCTGTTCAGCTCTCATGCTACCAGAGGGTCTGCACTTTACAGTTAGAGAGCAGGCCCAGGGGAGGTCAGGGCGCCTCACTCAGGATGGTGGTGGCTCTGTCCTCACAGAGGCGGGACCGCCCCATGTTCCCCAGGACAAGGCCGGCAGTCTTCAGGAGGAGGGCTGCATGAAGGAAGTAGGCATCTACTGGGAAAAAGCAGATACAGGGAAGCCCAGCCTTCGAGGAGACGCTGGGATCGCACCAGCAGGACTGAGCCAGTGCCGGGAACACTGTGCCCAGGGCCAGGACGCTGACGTCAAACTTACTGAGAAAGGGAAAATGGGGCTTGTGTTCTTTGTGAAAGGCTCGTTCGTATAAAGTGGACTCTAGTTTCACAGTGGCCTGTGTGTGCTCATCCCAAATGAACGCTCTGCTAGAGGAAGTGGCATGCCTCAGCAGATCAGCGTGCCCTCTTCCTCCAGTGTGAGAGCTTCTAATGACATCGGGTCCCAGCTCTTTTTCACTGCAAAGCATCCTGCTTGTTGTTCCTTCATGGAACCCAGGTTTTGAAAGATTTTCTCTAGCGAATGAAGAGTATTCATTCAGAAATAATCTATATTCTCATATTTATTCATCAAAGGAAGACATTTATAGTTGCCAATTAAAGCGTGAGGTTTCAGCATCACCACACCCCAATCCATCATCCCAACCAAAGCAGCGAGAAGGCAGCTCCCTCAGTCGTGCTCATGGGTGTCCTCAGGGCAGTGGAACGGCCCTCGGCGCTCAGAGGGTTCCCTCTCCAGCTTCTAGGGTTCTGGGACTGAGGCTGCAAACAGCTGGCTCTGGCAGATCTTGCATGGAAAACATTTATTTCTCTTGGCTTGCAAGATCCCAGCCAAGCGCAGCAGGGGCCTCTCAGTGCTGCTTGCTGCTTTCTGCATTGATTCCTTCTTGTCTGAGTGTGAGACGATGGTCCCTTTATACACTTCTCTTTTCCCTGGTCCCCCTTTCCTGACACCACGGAGGAGCAGGGGAGAGCCATGGACCGACTGGCGGTGGCGCTCCTGAGGGCAGGCATTCTTGGCAGGGACACCCAGTGTCCTCCGAGGCCCTTCCAGGCAGGTGGAGGCAGGGGCCCTGCTCTGGGGTCCTGGCACTGGAGGACAGTAGATGGGGTGGGGGAGGGGCACGTCCTACACTGCCGGGCCGGGCCGAGAGGCTGTTCCACGTCTACCTTTGGCCTGGAGGATCTGTCTGAGCTTCTCTTTTGTGAGTTTGTCCGACAAATGCCAAAACCTGCTTCTCTGGGGGCACAAGCACCAGCTGGAGAGCAAGACCCCCGGCCTGGCAGGGGCCTGGGTGCCTGTGGGCTGTGGTGAGGCCCGGGTGTGCCCAGACCCCAAGGGGAGGTCATGAGTCTTGCACGGTGAGGGTTGCGACACACAGCAGGACTGGACAGATGCCCTCGGTGTGTGGTGCATGCTCTGAAGAAGACCCCTGAGGCCGAGCGCCTGCCTGCTCCCACGTAACCTGCACCTGAACCTGGGCTGGCCTGCTGCCGGCAGGCGAGGCTGGCTGTGCTAGGAAGGGGCAGGTCAGACGGACGGAGCAAAGGGAACCAGCTTCTTGCACATCGTGGGCAATTCAGGCTTTTCCCATGAGCTGAACGTGCGACCTCTCCCTTTCCCTGGCGTCCCAGGACGGGTGCAGCACTCAAGGGGTGAGGGAGGGCGGGCCACCCCCAGCCTCGTGGCTGAGAGCAGCCTTTACTCCCCTGGTAGGGGGTACCGTTGACCTCAGAGCTATATTTTGATTGCCAACTTTGAGAATGAGAGTGATATTTTTGCGTTGGATCCACTGGGACAGGTGTTACCCATTGGAAGAGAGGCAAGTGGACATGCCTGTAGCCTGCCGGCAGGGCGAGCCCTGGATGAATGAGGAGGGGCCCAGAAAGGTCGCCCCGGGGCCGGGATGGAGCGGCTGACCCTCGCTTGGCTGCTCTGCACACCCTGGGGCGAGGCCCCCGCCTCGGGGGCAGGGCCAGCTGCGCAGTGTCTTTGTCTGAAAGATTGTGATTATAATAAAAACCAAGGCCACAAAGCAGAGACTGGCATTTAGATTCTTTCTCAGAAATAATTTTGTTCTTTACACCTTAAGAGCCCCTTAGGCCTGGGCCTGACGAGTCATAGCCTTTGCTCCCCTCGCGATGGAGAGGAGCCTGATCATTTGTTCAACAGCGAGTGGGAGCCGCGTTTCTGTGGGGCCTCTGGTCACATTTCTCGGAGGTCAAGAGCAAATGTTTTGAGGAGTGTGGGGGTTGCCTTCACTGGGAATAAGGAGAGAGGCTCCGGGGGCTCTCAGCTCTCGGGCCCTCTTTTCGTTGTGCTGTGAGCACAGATTTCCCTTCAGTGGATCCTCGGCAGAGAAGAGGTGCCACATTGTCATAAAGAAATCTCTGCAGGTGAGTGCCCTTAACGGGCCCTGTCTCCACACCCTTCTCCGCGGGAACTCCCAGGCTGATGCCCACGGCCACCCAGCCCTCTCCTTCACAGTCTGCAGCTGTGGCCCTTCCGGGCTTTGCTGCAGACCTGGGAGGCAAGCAGGCCCTGGCACACAGGCTTCAGCCTGCCCAAGAGGCTGCTTCTGTTTGTGCTTCTGCGGCCCGACGGCAGACACAAACTCTGTAGCAGGAATTTGAGGGGAGCAGGCAGCTGCCATGGGGAGGGTGTGCAGCACACACTAGAACAGACGCGCCCTAAGAGTCACTGAACTAAATCAGTGCTTTCCTGGGTGCTGGCGAGAGGTGGCCGTCTCTGCAGGTCATTGTCAGGTGGCCGTCCATGCCTGCTGTGCCCTGAGGGGCTGAGGCCGGGACAGTGATGTCAGAATAGAGCAAACAGCGCACTAATTAAGCCAAGATCCCCCAAGTTCCACAAGCCGCTTACCAGGAAATCTTTGACACCTGAGTGTGACTTCTGGGTTTTTTTTCTTTCACTACAGATTGTGTCTCAGTGTAGTCACTGCTAATCAGACGATGTCTGCACTTTGTCAGAATACCCACTCAGTGAAGTCAAAGGAGCGTGCAAGGCCCTTCTGGGAAAACAAAGCGAAATCAGTCTCAGTGGTTGGACTACGTGGGGCAGCAGTGAGCATCAGTAGATCCCTGGACTTACAAAACCCATGGTAGTTTTTGTTCTGTCCTGTTCCACTGGGTCCAGGCCAGTAGGCAACTTCTGACGCCCCAGTTTTCTGATCTATGAAACAATGTTTAAATCCCCTATGGCACAGAGCTGCCCGAGGGTTAGGGGGATGAAGTTAGAGGGAGAGTCCCCACGAGGGTCCTGGAGAGCAGCAGTTGCCCAGCGCGCTCTACTGGGAATCCGAGCTGTCAGTACACGTGTGGGTCCCCAGCACAGGGACGCCTAGAGGGAGACATAGGTGCTTTTCTCCAACAGATTTTATAATTTGAAAAAGCTGTGAATTAAGTAGTAGTAAGAGTAGTAATAAAAGTGTTGGTGAAGTGGGTACATGTGAAAGCACCTCCCAGGCGCCAGGTCCTATGTTCAATACCGAGACCCTGGCTTCTCAGGGCCTGGTCCTGACCAGCAGTGTCCACCCGACACTGTGAGAAATGCACATTGTCTGGCCCCATCACACACCTGCCTGATCAGAGCCTCTGGGATGGGGCCTGGGAGCCTGCCTTGAACAAGCCCTGCCCTGGTTCCGATGTGGCTGAGTTTGAGCAGTGCTGTTGCACACGTATGATCTTGTAGGAGTCTGTGATGTGGCCCTGCCATCACATCACTTTGTGGGCCATGAAATCAGGGCTCAGAGGTCGGATGGTTGTCCTAAGGCCAGAGCTGGCTGTTGGTGAGCTGGGACTCCTTCTGGAGGAAGCGGCTGGTTGGGCTGGAACTGTGATGAGGGACTCGATGTGGAGGCCGGGGGAGGAGGAGTGTAGCATTTGTCCACAACTTCGTTTTACTCCAACAGCATTAATTGTTTGATCCGGCTCCTAGTGGAGGCACGTTTTGTAAACCAGTTTATAGAGAGGAAAGTGTTGTGTGCATCCACCTAGGAACTGATGTTTCAGAATGATGTTGAGGATAGACATGAATCCATAATTTGCTGAGCGACGGCTGTGAGCTAGTCAATGCACACACTTTATCTCACTTAATGTTTGCAATGAGTCTAAAAGGTGGAAAATTATTATTCCCGTTTTATGGATGAAAAAAACTAAAGTTACAAGGGGTTAAATAACACAGAAATCAGAGAGGTAGCAAGTATGGGTACATGATGCAAGTATTGATATTTCTAACCCCTAAAATCAAATTTTCTGCAATATAACTTTGACTTTTATCTGTTTACAAACAAAAATAGAAGCACAGTACTTGCTTCTAAATCCACTGTCCCCCACCCTCTGGGAATGTGTTACAGCTGAGGAAGAGAAGCCCCTTCCAGACAGGTCTGCGGGGTGGGCCTGAGGGTTACGTGTGCTGCATCTGCTGCAGACTTCTGCATTGGAACATTTAGTATGTCTTGATTTCATTTCATTGTATTTCATAAATGTTTCTTTCCTTTACTAACTGCAACATTATAACAATAATTAAATGAGGAAAGGGTATTAAGAATCAGATTATGAATTTTATGAATAGCACTAGCAAAAGGAATTGGATGAATTAGGGGGAAGAAAAGGCAATCTTTTTATGGTACTGAAACCTAGAAGAACGAGAATCCCACAGGCCGACAGCAGTGTCCTTGAACTCTGTTCATTCATCCGATGTTTACTGAGCTCCTGCACTGTGTTAGGCCCTGCTCTGGGGACAGGGATGCAGCAGTGAGCAAAGCAGACAGGACCCCACCTTCACAGAGCTGATGTTCTAGTGACCTAGTGACGAGAGGTCAGAAACAAACAAAAGTAAACTTACATGTGCCCAATAGTGATAAGTGATAAGGAGAGA